ATAAATGCTGCATCTTACTGAAAAAGAGGAAAATCAAATTGGCCTCTGCTTTTCCCTATTATTTTTGCCTTTACTACTGCTTACGTTTCCGAGCTAAGTCCATTAAGTTCAGAGTTAAATTCATGTGACTTGCTCTCAAGACTCAAATGGTTAAACTATGTGCCATTACGAAATAGATGAACAGGAAAACAGACAAGCATACTTAATCAACATATTTTCAAAGTCAATTTTTTATCAGACATTTTTTTCTTAAAGTCAGGATGAGTGAATACAAGGAACATATTTTACCCATGCGCTCACTCATTCATTCAACAACCATTTCTTGAGCATCTTCCACATGACAGCACTTTGTGCTGGACCCTGTGGGTTTGAGGAGGAATAAAGCCCATGACCGATGCTCCAGGAGCTCTCCACTGCTGGGAAAGGCCCTTAGCAAAGGACAGGGCCATCACTTATTACACACACACCGAGGAAGAGCTCCTTAGAGAGGAGGGCATCATTAATCGGTGCTTTCAGCTTTCATAAGTAGATGTGCCAGTGGGCTGACAGTACAGGACATTCCGGAATTAGGAAGTCAGCTAAGGGAGCAGAGGGGAGGCCACTGCTGGGAAAGGAGCAGATTTCCAGGGGGTCTGATACTGAATTATAACCATGTGATTGCTAATTGTTTTTAGCCTATGAAAAAGTGAAAGTGAAAGTAGCTCAGTCCTGTCTGACTCTTTGTGACCTCATGGAACTCTCCAGGCCAGAATACTGGCATGGGTGGTCTATCCCTTCTCCAGGGGATCTTCCCAACCCAGGAATCAAACCAGGGTCTCCTACATTGCAGGATTCTTTACCAGCTGAGCTACCAGGGAAGCCCTTTTTAACCTATGCTTACAAGTTAACTAACAGACTGGATTCTGAAATAGCTAACGAACATCATATCATGAACAAAATTATCCTGTGTCACTAATTTGTGATAAATCTTGCTAAAGCCTACCTTAAATACCCTATATACTTAAACCTCGAATACACTATATACTATATGTATACCTGAAATACAGTACATATACTACTTAATAAAAAGTTCTTAGAAAACATGACAAATCCATGGAATGACAAGGCATTACAGGATAACTATTAATGATAAAGGATGCATCTTTTAGTGTGGAATGATGTGCGTGCTTAGTCACTCAGTTGTGTCCAACTCTTTGTGACCCCATGGACTGTAGCCCACCAGGCTCCTCTGTCCATGGGGTTCTCCAGGCAAGAATACTGGAGTGGGTTGCCATGCCCTCTTCCAGGGGTTGATCGGGGTCTCCTGTGCTACAGGCAGATTCTTTACCATCTGAGCTACCAGGGAAGCCTGTGGAATAATGTAGAAGGCTCTAAACCCATACATGGAGTTAACCCAAAATGTGAAAAGATGCCTCTGTGTTCCAAGTCCTTCATAGAACCAGATCTTTTAGGTGGCTCAAACAAAACCAAGTCAGCAGTTGGATTTCGTTCCACAGCTGTGTTCCCACCGAAGGTCACAGGCACTTGCAGGCTTGGTTTATGCAGTGGAACATAAACTAATGTCCCAGAAAAACAGGGTCCCATTTAAAGGTTGGTTTGTCTGATCACCAGGTCACTCAGTGGCTCCAAAAAGCATGCACCTTAAGAGAGGCCTATCTTGCTTAAATGAAAGGTAATGAGCATATTTTCCACTACAAACAGTCATTTAATTTTATGACTTTGTCACTGATCAAGTTAGAGTATTTGTGTTGTGGTTTCCCTCAATCCGACAATCAAGGGACTAGGTCATTTACTTTTGCAAAGGGGGGAAAACAGAACACCTGATGAGAACGTTAGCACTACCTGACACTTCTGTGTGCAAGTCCAGTCCTGGTGATGTAGATTGTTCCAGATTAAGTGCTTGCTACATGCAAAGTGATTTGTTTTCCTCAGTGACTAGTAGCCCCAGCCTCTGTTTCAAGGGAGTTGTCACTTCCTTATTCTCAGTTGAGACATGGGAAGTATGTTAGTCGCTCAGTTGTATCTGACTCTTGGGACCTCATCAACTGTAGCTCACCAGGCTCCTCTGTCCATGGGATTCTCCAGGCAAGAATACTGGAGTGGGTTGTCATTTCCTCCTCCAAAGGACCTTCCTGAACCAGGGATGGAAGCTGGGTCTCCTGCATTGCAGGTGGATTCTGAACCGTCCAAGCCACCAGGGGAAGCCCCAGTTGGGACCTAACCTTCCTATGCATTATTGACTTTCCTGATCTATTCAAAGAGGAGCTGGGAGGTCAGGTGCGCAGGCATTTCCTCCCCTTCTCATCATCCTTTGGAATCTGATCAGTGAAAGAGAATGCAACCCAGGCAACTCCCCCATCTGAATGCCCTGATCAGACCTCTCTTGCCTCAGCTCACTAGAGCAGCTATAGTGATCCACAGAATATCTTCAGACCAGGGGTATTCACAAGCCTCGGTGGAGAGCCTCCTACCTGCCTGTCCAGCGCTCTCGTTCTGCACGCCTGAAAGCCCCCTGTCAAAGGAGGAAGTGGCTGCGGGGGGACCGTCTGCTCCCCACGGGAGGGAGGCAGGAACAGCTGCCACCCAGGCCCTATGCTCCAGGCTGGAGCTTTAGGACAGAAGGAGGAAACTGACAGCCCCCCAAATAGCAGCCTCCCTCCTGGGAAGGCTCTGTGAAGCTTATCATGATGGACAAGCATCACCTTCAGGTGGGAAGTGGCTGGGGCCTCAGAGCAGGTGCTGGCAGCCCTGCCTCAGCAAAGGGGCAAGAGACGGTCCCCCCCCCCCAACCCCCATCCCAGACCCAAGGGATGGTCAGACCCTTCCTCATGGAAAAATGAGCTGGAGGGTCTGCCCACTGGCTTCCTCCCCCGGCTCTTTTCAGAGGCTTGCAAGGGCCAAAGGCCTGCATTTCCAGGGGAGACAGTAAGGGCTACGAGGAGGGAAGCGTGGCAGCATTTTTTTTTTCCGGAGAGCTGCGTATCAGTGTGACAAGGGGGCCCCACGGGAGGGCGATGCGGCCAGTTCCGTCGCATTATCCCCCCCGAAAGACCGGCTGCGTTAACCCGGCAAAGTCACCCGCAGCAGCTAGCCAGAGTTTGCAGTGAGCGACCAGAGGTTTGCAAAACAGACAGCGCCGTCTTGCATTTCTCCTCCTCGATCGCTAGAGTTTTTATTGCAGCCGAGGGCACCGCGTGAGCAGGGGCCCCGTCCTGGCCCTCCCCCGACAACCGCTCAGCGAGGCAAAACGCCTGATGGTCACGTAGCAAGCTGCCTGCTTTCCAGGGATTCATTTGGAGGAGAAAGCGTGCGCTGGAGTTTGGCAGCGCACAGCACCAGCTTTTCCTAAGGGCCTCAAACGATGGAACTTCTTTGTTAGGGAGGGAAAAATGAAGAAAAGGCGAAGCCGGAAACTTAACACGCTGGATTGCAGGCTGCGCTTCCTCAGGCTTGAGTTCGTTGCTCAAGACACCTGCCTGCTTTGTCCACCAGCGAGCGACTCGGGGCAGAGAGTCAAGGGGCCCATATTAATGAGTTCTAGAGTCTTCTGTCTGCATCCAATTAGTGTGAACGTTCAGCATCACCTACTGAAAAACTCTGACTATCCTGTATCAGGGAGCTGAACTACAGACAGGCTCCAAGATTTATTAACATTTCTAAATTTTATGAGTTCTGTTGTTTCCTGCGCTTATTATCAGCATTAGCTCTAATGAGGGTTCTGGGGATGGGGGGAAGAGCTGAAAAGGAGAAACACTTACCCCAGCTCCCACCTGTCCTACCGGTAATTTAGCTCTTCTAACCCCTTTGGGATGGGTCCAGGTGTCTTTTCCATGTCTGTGTCTGTTCTGTGTGTGTGTGTGTGTGTCTGTATTCCCAGATAACAAGGCATGAAAGAACTAGGGTGGGTGTTACCTGGAAACCCTAGGAAAGTTTTGAACACTTAATATGTGTTCATGGGAACTGGACTACAAACAGTGATTTATGGATCAACTTTCCAGTTTCCTTCTGATCTCCTCAAGGATGCAAATTTTATGTTTGCGCGGATGTCAGTCACATCTCCAGTGTACCTTCCTAACTGACAAGTTTTCTTAAGAAAATGAGAATGGCGAGAATGAATGACTAGTGATCTGCTCCCACCACGTTGTCATTGCTATTTTGTTTTTTCAAATGTGAAACACACGTGGCAGGAAGGAGGCTGATCCACCCCCAGAGTGACTGCAGATTCTTCCCTCAAAGATGTGTTTGTGGTGCTTAGCATCACTGGTGCCCCAGGAGGCCCGGGAGCCAGTCCGGTGCGCAAGTAAGATTGCTACTTCTTAACGCAATGCATGGCAGTGCGCTTGGTCACTTAGCAACTTCGGGAGCTCAGACTGGGGGACTCAATACACTAATTCAAGTTCACATATTCTTCTTGTCACTTGGATCCCCAAACTTGGGAGAAACTCTATCCTAAAGGTTCAGGCTTTTCTAGGAGGCATTGTTCTTGTTTTCCGAGGGTTAGTCTGTGTCCGATTCTACACGTGGTTACAAATGCAAGTATGTTTCCTCTGGCCCAAGGAGGGTTAGATTCAGGTCGATGGAATCCTCTGCTCTGAAGTTGAGCGCCGAGGTGGAAGGAGAAGGCTCCGGGGCCCCTCTGCCACCTTTCTAAGAACACATCTGGGTGGCGTGGGACACTATTCCTCAGCAGCCCCTCGCCCCCCACCCCCAATACGCTAGGGCGCCCCAAGAGGAGCCACGCACGCTCCTGTCCTCCCGGAGCAACATGACCAGATTCGGCCACCGCCGGTCCCGAAACCGAAAGGTGCCCGCCGGTCCCCGGGCCGAAGAGCCTGCGGACTGCTCTGCTACGGTCTAGGGCTGCTGTTCCAAAACTCCGGAGCAGACTGAACTTAAAGTTACCCCGGGAAAGAGCCCTGCCTTCCTGCTACGGTGGGCTGGGGCAGAGAAGCCCGGAGTTTCCCGGGGAACTTGAGTGAGTAGAAAGTGCCAGTGCCTAGTGCACCGCAGTAAACTTTTTTATTTCTTCCCAGAGCAAGCATTGTTAAGGCAGGGGTGGCCTTCGGTTGCTAATTTGAGGGGAGAACAGGGAGAGAGAGAGAGAGAATGATTGCGGAGTGTGCAGCCTCTGGAGGACTCCAGAATCCGTGCCCGGACCGGGGCGCGTTTGCAGCAAGTCCTGGAGCTGAAACCCCAGGGTGGACACTTGTTCTCCGGCAGAGCCGCGTCGGGGCTGCTGATGAAACCTGAGTATTTAGAGACTCAGACTCTCCCTGCCCGAAGGTCATTTACACTTCTCAGCCTCGGACGGGAGGACACTCTGGAAGGGAAGGCGCAGGTCATTTTCAGAGGCTCTGTGAAGGACGGGCCGCCTACCGGGGGGTGGAAATCCTTAATTACACCCTTCTGCCTCGAAATCTATCTTCCCGGCAGTGTCTTGCACTCCCACCTCCTCGGGTGACTCAGCTGACCTGAAATGCCCACCCTACGAAAGATCAAGAAAAGTAGTTTTGGAAGAAGGTTAGAGGTTTGATTACACAGAGAAGCGTTTACACTTAGGTCCAAAGCAATTACCGCCCCCTCCCCCTGCTCCTCCTCCGGGCACCTCGGGGAGGAGAAGGACAGACCCCCACCCCCTCCCGACGCGCGTACCCCGAGGTGTTTGCTGGTGCGTGTGAATTTCAGTGGGCGCTGTTGAAGTTCGTTAGTGTTTGCAATCAGCGGCCGGCAGACCCCTCGTCGGAGCCTCAGAGCCGGCCAGAGCCATTCATCAGCGTGAAGTGTTATTCATGGATGACCCCTAAATCACGGCCGGAGTAGTAGATGCCCTGATTGGTCGCAGCATGGGAGCCTCGGTGCTTTCCCGAACCCGACGCGGCCGGGAGGAGGGCGGGAGGAAGGGAGGGGCGGCTAACGTGGTTCAGTCCGGCAAATCCCATTTGACAGAAAAAGGCAGTAAACGGGGGATCTCTCTTTCCGAATAAAGGAGAAGGAGAAGAAATTAAGTACCTGTCATCTTGACAAGTGGCGGAGCGGAGGAGTCCGGGATTATAAATGATCGCGGCCGGTCCGGCTCGCCCCGCGATTGGGCTCTCCCGCGAATCCGCACGGGGAAGCGCATGGTAGGCTTCTCGGTTCGGCTCTTGCACTCTCTCTCTCGCGCACACACACACACACACACACACACACACGGATACGTGTACGCGCCTGGGGCCCGGGCACTCTCGGCCCGGCGCGTCTCCCACGTCACCCGGTTCAGGGCCTGGTTGCCGCTCCCGGGCCCTGCACCCGCCCGGCTGGCGGGCTCACCTCGCCCGCTTCTCCGTTCTCCGGCTCCCCCGGGGGTGCCGAGGACCGAAAAACTCCGGCCTGGGCCTCGCCGGCCGAGGAGGAGGAGGCTGGAGGGGGCCGGCGGGAAAGGGAGAGAGGGAGAGCGCGGGGGAGAAAAAGAAAGTGAACTCATTGGCGCTCCGCGCGCGCTGCCCTCCCCTCGCCGCGTCCCTCGCCCGCCGCGGTAAGTGCGGCGCCGCCGCCGGCGCGCCCTCCTTCCTTTCGGGGGTCCTAGTGCCCGGGCCGTGGCGCCCGAGCCGGAGGGAAGGCTGGCGGGAGGCCGGCTGGCCGGCGGCGCGGTTCTCCGAGCCGCGCTGGGTGGCGCCGCCAAGTTGGCCAGCCCCGGGGGCCCCGGAGCATCTCGGCAGCGGGCAGGCTCTCCCCGGGGCTGGCCTCCCCGGTCCCGGCCTCCCCGTGCCCGCCCCTCCCCTCCCGCCTGACACCTCGGGCTGTCAGCTCAGGTGGGAACTTCGCGGGTTGCCTCTCGCCAGAGGATCTGGGCGCCGCGCCCCCCTAGATCGGGGAGCCCTGGGCTGCCTGATTCCCGGAGAAAGGCAGCCGGGCCGGGGCGCTCGGTGGGGGCAGGAAGCCCAGCCCGCCCTGCTCTGATCGGGTAGATCCCCAGTTTCGTGGTGCGGCCCCGGGTCTTCTGTCTGAGTAGGAAGGAGTCTCGCAAGATCCTGTGGGGCTTCCAGCGAGTGGGGAGCCTGGGATGTCACCCCTCTTCCGGGGAAGTGGGACATTGGCTTCTCCAACTCTCGGGGAGCCAAGTTGGGAAGGAGTGGAGGCAGAAAGGGGCTGGGGTCGTGTAGGGAATGGTGGGTCTAGACTGCAACTTGAGCTGTTTGAAACTCCGGATGAGGCTGCAGGCGAACAACCAAATATCCCGAACCGGGCATTTAAACAAGCACAGATTTCTGAGTCTGCAACTCGGTCTCAAGTCTGTATCGTGTTTTACAACAGAGTAGAATATTTTTACAAAACCTTCGACTCTTAGATGGAGGTGGGTTCGTGTTCCTCCGATCTCTGCTGAACACCTTATGCAGTTTGAATTCCATGACTGCCTCACCTTTAAGGTGGTTGCAGTGGTAACCTGCTACTAATTCTTATTGCGGAGGAAGGATAAGGAGTAGTTTTACCTTGTGATCCAGCAAATGCTTTTTTGTTTACTGAAGTCATTGTAATTTAAAGCTAGAGGAAAGTTTCCGGGGGACTTTGGGGTAAGTGCAGTGGAAGTGAAGAGAGAGCGCTGTCCAAACACTTTTACAGGGCCCCAGACAGCCGAGATAGCGAGGACAGGACTGTCTCTTCATAATACTCTATTTCTTATCTTCTGACAATGTATTTGTCAAACATTTGCAGGCTCTGGCAGAATCCACTGGGTGGTCTTTTCACTCGAAATAGAAATATGTTCAGGCATTACCTTTCCCTTCTGTTGTCAGAAGGGGGGAAAAAAAAAGACAGGACTGGCGTCTTTCGAGAGCTTGGAAGAGTATCCCAAAAGATGGTATTGCAACCGAACAGAACTTGGTGATTTGATTTCTTTCGGGAGTTTGTTTAAAATGCCATGCACACACACACCCCACCTCCCAGTTGCCTACCTGGAGAAGTACTTGTAGTCTTTTTAGTGTATTAGGAACAGAGTTTAGAATTAAGACTGTGTAATTAAAATTCATGATAGATTTTCATATTTCAGTTGAAGCAAAAGATTTCACAAATATGCCAACAGTCTTGCTTTGTGCATTCCTTAATACATTCTCAATCATCTAAAACTTCTAGCTTATATTTCAGTATATGAAATTCTTGCAAGAGCCTTGAAACTTTCGATTTGTGATTCTAAATGCAGAGCAAATATTTAATTCTTGCTCTAAGAGTGAGAGGTTAGTTCAGTAATAAGACTTGCTAATCCCACTTTAAAATGTCACGGCATTCACAAATTATTCCTAAATTCTTTAAGGGGGGGTGGGGTTATAATGAGTTAGTTATTCTATTGTGTATTTCAGGATTAGGTGTATCTCTCTTTCCTGTTGCATTTTTCTTAACAATCTTTTCTCTTTCCTTACATGAATTTTAATATTCCTCTTACTCCAAGGTACTATTTTTTGTTAGGAGTAAGTATTTTTAATTTTTAAACAATGTATTATGAGGAAAAGTAGTTTCTTTGAGTAAGACAAATTTATTATACACATACTACACAGTTTTAATGAAAAATGGACTTATATACTAATAACTATAGCAGTGCTCATATATTTGGAAAATCTGTTAGCATCCTGTGCCAAGAGCATCAGTGTTAGCAACCCATAGATAGTGAACATCGACCCTAATGAGGACTGCTTGGTTATTTGAGATAACCCAGATAAATTTATAGTAGAATTCTGACTATTTATTTTTTTAAATTGAATCATTTTGCATGGCTGTGTTTATTTTCTGTAAAGACATGTTTTAGGTAAATTATAGAGGCTTTTCTTACTGTGATCTTGGAGGTGTGTCATGAGTCTGTTGGGTTAGAAAAGAGAATCTGCTTTATTAGGCTGAAGACAAAGGAAGATAAGGATGCTTACCTCTGAATAGATGAAAGCACTTAAATAGAGTGAAAAGTTGTAAATTTATTTGGAAAGAGAACCTAGCTAAACAATAATAATCCAGTTAGCAAGTTCAAGCTGGTCCTTCTTATCTTTGCTTTTGGGAGCCAAGAGTAATTATTCTCTTTGTGAAAGAGTCGAGCAAATAAGAATCCAGACGAAAGTGTGTGCCTATCATTGTGAGTTGAATGAGCTATCAGAAATACCTGATCAACTTTCAGCTGGATTTACAAGAAATTATATTTTTGCAGTAGCTGTGAAAGTGTGCTTGTAAATGCTGAAGTTTATCCTTTTAATGACAGTACTGGTAAATAAGTCCTGAGGATGATCAAAGTCTGATAGAAAACCACTAGAAAGACAACTTTATTAGTTTACTAATATTGGTTATATAAATATATTTACCTCCTTTCTGTTAAGCTTTATTTTTCACTTTAAAAGACCTGGTCTCTGGGTGGCTGAGGAATGTCATCCAGGTATTACACTTATGTGAATCAGTGTCTTCAGCAGCATTAATGAATCATCTGCCCTTTTCTTGAAGATGTACTGTAGAAATCTGTTAAGCATGTTCAGTTATGCATTACTTATCTACCAGTGTTTTGATAGTCAAATGTCCATTTTGACTCTTAGGACAACCCACGTAGATGGAGAATAGCCGGAAAGAATACAGTAATTTGCTATCAAACTTTTACTCTGATCTGCAACCAATTATACATTCCTTTGAATTTTCCATTACAGTTATATTTGTTTTATAAAGTAGGATGAGAGTGGAGAAGAATTTAACGTGCATTCAGAATAAAGAAGTGCACTGCAAAGCTAGTATAATAATACCATGCTACTGAAAACTTTCAGCAACTGAGTCTTAGAAATTATCTCATGGAAGCTTCTTTGAGGACATGTTCAGAACCTGATTTTGGTGATACCAGCTATTTTAAGAGTCCTGATGGAACTTTTGTGAGTAACAAAAGAAAAAAAATTCTTACTTTCAAAACTGATTAATTGTTGTGTCTTATAAAAACTGATTTATTTCATACTTTTTTATACTGAACATTACCATTATGAAGCTCTCCTTCTAATTGAGATTAATGTTTCTGAGCAAAGAAGTGGTTTGGAGGGCTGTATTCATTTTGAGTGCTGTTGTAATCAATTTTAGATACAGCATTCCACAATGGATCAGTTTGCATCCAAACCTGCCTTATTATATAGAATTAACTTGTTGGTGATTGATAGTAATACTTCTATATCCTGAGAAGTCATTTGTTTCCAAACAAGTGTGATGGCTTGTACAAGTCTCAAAATACTGCTTTTCATAATTAAAACATCCTTTGAGGGACCTAATTTGAACTTTCTCTAAGAACTAGATAAAGCATAAAGAAGCAATTCATTAATATGTTTTCAAATAAAATAGCCTCTCCCCAATACAGTATGCCTCAAGGTGTGTTTTCTTGGTCATCAAAAGGTTTTATCACTTTTAGGGTGTAAGTGGCAAGCATACATTTAGGTTATTTCCTTTTTTGTTTATTATCAACATTCTAGTTGAGTTTTTGAAGAATTTCTTAGAATTACAGATCTACATCTCATGCATGTGTTAAAACTTATTTCACAAGGCGGTAGGTATAATCCTGACAATGAAAGGTAATGCATGTGGAGGTAATTCTTTATCCTCTTTGGAAACCTGGAAAGATGGTGAATGGTATTGTCCCTACTGTGATATTTGCATTTGTTTCTTACTTGTGTCTAGCCAGTCTCAGCTTTATCAGCTTTTCATTCTTTTCTGAAAGACCACATAAGATTTTCTTGGGCTTTGGTCCATGTTGCATTGCTTACTGTGCTACATGCTTGTAGTCTCAATAAAATAAAATATTAAAAGCATAGACTATAAGATTAACACAGATAAGTATTCTAATATAGCCAGAGTGTGCAGGATTTCTAAATAAAAGTGGAACTGCTTTA